TGTAGGGTCACTCTATGCTTAGAACATGGGGTTCTCATCCCCACAGTGAACTTGAATGGAGCTGACAATATACCCAAGACCAAGTGGTCAGTTCTGAAATCATATACATACAAGTTACTTATTATGGACTGAATGGGTTATATTTATGTATTGAGATGTGCATGTGCACGTGCACACACACACACACAGATACACACACAGAGACACACACACACACACACCACCACAACAACAATAATTAAAGAAAAAGAGACCATAGATTTGAGAGAGAAGAATGAGAGGGTACATAGGAAAAAGGAGGAGAGAGTTGGAAGAGAAACAATGTAATTATATTTTAATTTCAAAAATAAATTACAAACCTTTTAACTTGTATCTTTTTACACTAAAAGTCTAATTTCCTTAATATCATTAAGATAATCATTTATCTATCCAACAAAATATAACAACACTTGCAAAGTAATACTCATATTTTTTCTGATAGGAAGATTACTGTGCAAAAGGTATTTTTATGTTCCATTTTAAAAGATTTTTTAGAACTCTCTCTCTCTCTCTCTCTCTGTGTGTGTGTGTGTGTGTGTGTGTGTGTGTGTGTGTGTGTGTGTGTGTAGGTACCAGTGGGAACCAGAAGAGGGTGTCAGATCACCTGGAGCTGTGGTTGAAGGTGGTTGTGAGCTGCCTGAGATAGGTGCTGGGAATTGAACTCTGGCCTTGTAAAAGAGCAGGAAGTGCTCTTAGCCACTGGTTCATCTTTCTAGGCCCAAGTTCTAATTATTCTAAAGATACATTTCACTGGAGGAAGTATTGTGAAAGTGTCATTCTTAAATGTGTTAATCCCAGAGAGAAAACAAAAAGCAAATGAAGTGTTTTATGTGGCACACTAATTTGCACTGGATTTGTAGTCACACTGCACATGATATGGTCCCATCAACAGTTGACTGAATGTACAAAAGTGGTCCCACCAGGTCATAATGGGGCTGAGAATCTCCTATTGCTGCTGGTGTTGGTGCTATCATGTAATTTTTAATCAGACACATTATTGGTATCTATGCTGGTGGATGCACTTATGAACATACTCTGATGCTGGTCCTACAAAAGTCTAGCAGTTAAACACAGATACAACTCATGATGATAGTACTAAGCATGTTACTGGCTCATACAGTTAATATGCTGTCATTTGATAGTATTTCCTTGTATTTATGACAAATATAGTTTATTATAAAACAACACATGTGTTGTGCTGGCATTATGTTTCCCAATTGCATGCTGACTGACTGACCTATACCACCTTGGTTTCTGTAAGCAACTCTTGTGTAGCACAAGCACCCCTGGAAATGTTCCTCAGAGTGTAAGCCTGTTGGTAAGTAGTGACTGCATTTATTTTTCAGGATTTATTTTTAAAAAAGAACAATGCATTACATTTTTATGCATTTTGTGTGTAGGGGCGAGGGCGCCGTGATGCATGGGTGGAGGTCAGAGCATAACTCTGGTTCTCACTCTGGTCCTCACTCGCCATCATGTGGGTCAGATATTGAACCAGTCTCTTCTTCTTCTTCTTCTTTTTTTTTTTTTAAATTTGATTTAATTTGTTGACTATGTAAATCATGAGGTTCCAGAATGAAAACTATGTAACCGTATGTTGAAGATGTCTTATTTCTACTCACAAATTCTTCAAGTTTTTACAAAGGACATTTTATCCACTTCTTGCTTGTTTTCCATTGGCTTCTTGTTGTTAGTATAAACAAATGCATTTAATTGTATCCTTCCATTTTTATTACCCAAGAGGTTGCACAGTGCAGACTGCAATACTCTTTCCTCTGCTTATCCTGGAGGTTTCATTGTTACAGTTTATAGAGTTTCCTATTCTCTTTTTATACTGCACTGGGTTGTTTTGAAAGATGCATCATAATTCATTTCACTGGTCCTCCATCAGATGCATATTTGATTTGCTTTCACATTTTTTTCAGTCACTAATCATGCTCTGGTGGATAATCTTGTACATAGTCATTTTGCGTTTTTTTTGCTAGTATCTTCACAAATGCTGGGACAAAAGGTAAACAAATACATACGTAATTTTTCTTAACGTTCCCAAATTTTCCTCCACAGGCATCATGCTGTTTTGTGTTTCCATCAGCAATGCTTGAGAGCGCTGCCTTCTCCACAGGCCCATCAGCACAGTGTACTTTCAGACTTGGATTTCTGCCAGTCTGATAGATGAGAAATCTCTCAGTTCAACTTTAATGTACATTTCTCTTTTAAAAAAATGCATTACTTTTTCTGTGCATAAAGGCCATTTTAATTTCTGAGTTATAAACATACAGGGCTAACACACATTTACTGTATGGCTAATTTTTCTCTCTGGATCTTTTTCTTAAAGAGATCTCTAAATGACAGATACATTTGCTTAGTTTTAAGGATATAAGTTACAAGTGCCTCCCACCCTGCTTGTCATTCATCTTCTGGTTGCTTATAGTTTTCTGAAGGCTGAAAACTTTTTGTTAGAGCTATGCATTCCAATTTGTCAATCTGGATTTCATGTTGTCAGTCTGGAAATAGAAAGTGAGCCTCTATTCTGTGTTTTACAGATGTCTCTTCTTACTTTCCAGCTTGGTGTCTACTCTTTCTGCTTCTGTTTCCTCTTCCTCCTCCTCTTCTTCCTCCTCCTTCCTCCTTCCTTCTCCTCCTCTTCCCCCTTCTTTATTTCTTGAGACAGTGTCTCTCCATGTAGCTCTGTGTCCTGGGGCTGGCCTTGAACTCACAGAGATCTGCCTGCCTCTTCCTCCTTGAGTGCTGGGATTAAGGGCAGGAGCCACCACTCCCAGCTATGCTTGGCTCTTTTTCATAAGCAGTTCTTAATTTAATATACTCAAACCAACCGGTATTTTCCAAATCTAAGAAAATAATCTGCTTTGAGGCCTCTGAGATACTGGACTGTTTTATCTTCAACTATCTGAGAATTGCTTCTTGTCATTCAAGGACCTGTGTGAGTTTGTCGACTGGTATTTACCAGTCCTTGAAGATGTAAGTACCTGCAGGTGGTGTCACTATGGCATGGCAGGGTGAGATTGATGGTTTGGGTGCTATCAGGGTTATGTGGAGAGTCACAGTGACTGGAACTGCATAGCTGTCACATACAGTGGGATGAAACCTAAATCCACGAACATTTACATGTTCTTAAAAAGCCAACACTCTGCCTAGGATGGAACACAATTTAGCAAGCTTCCCTGCTTTGTTTTTCACAATCACAGCTTTATTCCCCCTGAAATTTATTTTATTTTTGGTGAACAGTGTAATGTGGGGAAACTTTCTTATGTTCCGCTTTCCCAGAACTTTTATTTATTGATGTGTTGGTATGCATAAGCATCTGTGGGGGTGTGTGCATACTTGTGTGTGAGGGTGCATATGGAGGTCAGAAGTTGACATCAGGTGACTTCCTCAATCTCTCTCCACTTTATTTTTTGAGACAGGGTCTCTCACTGCAGCTGTAGCTCACCGATTTTGCTAAGTTGGCTGGCCAGTGAACTTCAGGGATCGCCCTGTCTCATCTTCTCCAGCACTGGGATTACAGCCATGCACTATTATATCTGACTTTTGATGTGGGTTCTGAGGATCCAAATTCAGCTTCTCATGCCTGCATAGCAGGCACTTTACTGATAGATATGCCCCCAGCATCTTCCCTGAACTTCTGATTCAGGAAACAGTCTTCCTCATTGCTGATCAATGTCCTGTTTATCACAAAGTAAGTGACCACGGACAGGGCTGTTTCTGACATATTGGCACAGTCACACAATTTGATAGCTTTAAAACAAATCTTGATATTTGGAAAGGAACTTGTTTAACTCTATTATTTCTCAGCAATATCTTTTGTTTTGGGTCCCTGTATTCCCTTAGAAAATTTAGAATGATTTATTACACACACACACACACACACACACACACACACACACACACACACACAATCTATTCAAACTTTGACTAGAATTGCATTTAAATTATAGAGGTGCCTAATCCTTCTGTTTGGGTATAGTGTGTACCCAGATCTTATACAATTCCCTTTGTATTTATTCCTAACCATTGAGTTACTCAGACAAGCAGTTTTTAAAGATTTGCATTAATTTTTAAGTTGTATACATACTTATAAGTATAATATCTGTTCCACCATAGTAAATATTTAAAAGGTAAGTTATCATGGACCAAAAAAAAAAAAAAAAAAAAAGTACCAAATGACTATGGTTTAATATACTGAAAGGTATGCATAATTGCTATGCAGATACCATACAATTTAAGGTCATATTGTCTGATCATCTGTTTCTACAGGGATAACAATATTGATTTTTTGTGTGTTGAACTTGTGTTAGGCTAAAATCTCAAAATTTCTATTTAGCCTCTTATTTTTCTAAGAAAATAACCAACCAGCCTGGGACTATGACTGCTGTTTGTCCTCCTTTGTCCACACTAGCCTGGAACTTGCTTTATAGACTGGGCTGGCCTTGAATTTTTTATGATCCGGGAGGATTATTAGCTGACATCTATTTTTCTCAGCCTGGATTCTAATTGAGACACAACATACAAAAGCCTGTCTCCTATTTCCAACCTAAGAAATGGACTAGAAGTGCCTCTTGGATAGTATCTAGGATGGTTCAGGTCCTGAGTTTTCCAGCACCGGATAGAAAAAGTCATCTGTACTCCTATAAATAACTTTAAATAACCTCCAAAATTTACATGTATACTCAGTAAGTAGATTTGTGTGGAATCACATCTTCATGTCTTCCCAGAAAAAGCATCACAGACATTCTAAGAAATGATTGTTGTGTTTCATTCAGTATACACTTCTTATGGTATTTTGATTGGTTATTTTTTAAGTGCCTTGAGTTTTCTCTTATTTTCAGTTTGACGTTGGTTTCCCCTTTAGTCTTTGAGGATTTTTTGTTCAATTCTATCCATTTTGTGGTTCTGTCAAATAAGGTGTCTGCAAAGTGTGGCCTAGAGGCTGAACATGTCACTGTGTTTAATTTTGTTTATTTATTTATTTTAGTTTCTGTGATCTAAGAATGGTTCCTTCTTTTTAAAAAAACAATCGGGGAAAGGCAGAGGCAGGCAGGGGACATGGGGTGGATTGAAGGGAGAAGAGAAAGCCAGTAAATGATAAAATTATATTTTGATTAAAAATAAAATATATTAGTAAAAAGTGGCAGTGTCTAGATAGTATATAGATCTAAATGAATATTATTTTAAAATGTTGACCCAAATTTTAGTTCCTTATTATTTTTTTCTATTTTATTTAAACAACATTTTTTTTCATTTATTTTGCATACCGACCAGTTTCCCCTCCCTGCTCTCCTCGTCTTCTCCCCTTGTCCAACTAACCCCTCACCATCCACCTGTCCTCTATCCCCATTCAGAAAGGGACAGGTTCCCCACGGGCTTGTACAAAGCCTGGCACATCAAGCTGAGGCAGGACAGAGCTCCTCCCCTTGTGTTGAGATGGGACCAGGTCTTTATCAAGGAAGGTTCTCATGTAGCCTTGGCTCTCCTTGACCTGACTATGTAACTAAGGATGATTTTAAACTTCTGTCCTCCTGAGTGCTGGAATTACAAGCATGTGCCACTGTGCTGTGCTCATGTGGGCCCAGGGCTTCACATATACTAAGCAAACACTCTTTCAACTGAGTTGCATCTCTTTTACAAGGCTGATTCTTTCAAATTTGGTTTTCCTGAGACCCTAAATTGAATAAAACTTCACTGATGAAACACATAACATGGCTGGTGGACACTGTCTTCTAGTGATTAGCAAATGTAGTTTAAAAACATGACAATCTGATTTCTAATCACTTCGTCAGGTGGGTGGAGAATATTGCTGCCACATGCAATGGTCATGTCCCAGGCATCGATGATACCCACGTGAAGGTCTTTGAAAATGTCCTTCATGGTTAGATACTGAATATAACCATGGAAATCTCCAAATTTCTCTGTATCCAGGTACATCTCCCTGATATTCTCTGCCTTAATGATGACTTTAGTGTCAGGACCTCTGAGGAAGAGTCGTTCAATAGCCTTTTGGATGCTGATGGCTCTACGAATGAAAAGTTCCATGGGGAAGGGTCTAAAGTGCTGGCCCAAGGTGATGACGATGACAGTATCTTTGTCACCTGGTAAGCGGTCAATTTCCTGAGGAATATAACCATCATCTATCACAGAGTAGAGCTGGACCGTGATGAAAGGATGGCTATGTTTTTTCCATTCAACCAGAATGTGCCTGTCAGCATCCAGAAGCAAGTGTTTCTTATATAGTCCAGTCCCATGAAGATCAAAAGGCTTCAACGCTGACAAGAAAACAGAGAGGAACTTTAACTAGAAGGCCATGATGAATAAATGTTAAAAGGAAGAGTAATATTTATGAGAGGGAGATATATATTTAAAGATGCAAACATAGAAGGTAAAATAAAATAAAAAACAGCAGCCTTGGCTAAGAGGAGGGAGTCCACACTCAAAGCACTGTAAGGTCAGCTTGGATTTCTGAAAGAATATGAAAATAATGACATACTTTTTGCAACTTTGGGAAAGTAGTTGATCCATTGACGCAGCGTCGAGTCTCCCAGGAGGTAAATGAGTTTTCCTTTCAAACAGTCATTTATTTGACTTGAGTTTAACACACTCTGCTTGCACTGGGCTGTTGTCCACCTTCCTCGGAAGGTGTAACCACTAGGTGTGGGAATCTCCGTTCCGATCTGACATTTCTCTGTCCCGTTCTCTTCAGTCTCTGGTAACAGATATTTGTGGAAAGTGGTTTGGATGGCATGAGTCAAGCACCCAGTCACCTCCCTTGGTTCCCGACCCCTTTTCTTTATCATTTTCTTTTTCTAACAACTTAAACTTCTCCCGTTACTTTATTTTTGACTACCAGTATGTTTTAGGCACCCAAACTCATCTTTTTCTCTCTTCTCTTTTTTTTCAGGCAGGGTCTCTCTGTGTAGCCCTGGTTGGCCTAGAACTCACTATGTAGAACAGGCTGGCTTTGAACTCAGAGATCTGCCTGCCTCTGCTCCAAAGTGCTGGTATTAAAGTAGTACACCACCATACCAGGCTCCTCTTTTTTTCATAATATTAAAAAATATTGCAAAATTATTTATTCTTAGAAACAGTGAAAAAATACTGTGGTATGAAAATTCTTTTTATTCCCCTACTCAATCTTTTGAGAGATTCTGGGTCATCTCAACTCCTCTCTACTCATGTTCTCCTCAATCTAGTCATCATCTTAGGGGGATGTTTTTTCCTTTCTTTGCCATTCCTGTTGGTTCTTTGGTGACCAAGTCTTTTCTCCAAACCTGAGTAAAGTGACAGTGGCCTGCCAGTTGATATCCTCATCAGCAAATCTTACCGTTACCTCTGTTTCATTAGTGAAAGAGCAATGCTATTTAACAAAGGCTTAATGCTCAATACTTAACAGCATGAGTCCATTTGAATGCTTTAGGATGAAATCCCCAGCTCAACAGTGCCTCAGTAGGACTTTGCTAAAAGTGGCAAGTTGTACCCCACATGAACTAATAACAATATGAGCTGCTTTCTCAAGTTCCACTTACATGACAGCTATGTCATGTCTGCCTTCATAGACATCTGCGAGTCAGGGCACTTGATGTTTTATCATAGAACAGCATGGCTGTTCATGTCATACTGTCTTGATATTCTCTCTGTGCTGGTATACGACCCTTGAGTACCATATAGATGCACACACATATGTAATATATATGTGTGTGTGTGCGCGTGCGCGCTCATGTGTGAGTGCAAGGTTGGATCCTAGGGCATCATGCATGGCAGCCAAGTATTCTAACACCTAGGTAATTCTTATCTCATAGTCTAGGTTTTGTCACATAAGCACCCCCATACTAATATCAATTTCTGTGTTAGATAGGAATGCTATAAGAAAGGTCAATAAGCATGATTCACAGATAGAAATGATTTCCTCCTCATGGAACAGTTTCCAAGTGAGCAGGCCTGAGCTAATGTTGTGTAGTGTTGGGGGATGTTCTGCTCTTTCTGATACAGTGCCATCCCAGGCTTAATGGGGCAATATTTTCTCAAATTTTAGCTGCAGTCCAGATAGGAGGAAGGAGAGAACTGACAGAGGGAGGAAAGTTGCTTTGCTTTTAAACACAGGGCCTAGAATTTTCTTATATCATCATTTCATTCATGCTCTTAGAAAAAGTTTAGCTATGGAATTCAGTGACCATTAGAAAGCTGAGCATGAGCTGGTCTGGAATAATGGTTTCTATTACCAAGCAAGGTGAAAGGAGTACACATTAGGGACTTGTCATCTCTCTGCAGTACTGTCCTCATGTAGTACTTCTTTCAAGGACTTTGCAGTTTCTGATTGACTGTGTCCTCAAAACAGACTGTTATTAAATGGTTGGACTGTATGGTTAGCCCTCGGTGCCATCTAAAAATTGCATTTATTTATCTTCTATGTGTTTGAATGTATGTGTGTATATGTGCCACAGTGGAATATGCCCATAGTGGTCAGTGGTCAATAAACGGGACAGTTCTTTCCTCCAGCAGGAGCTCCTATGAATCAAGCTCAGGTGGTTAGGGATGGTGACAAATGTCTTTCCCTGCTGAGCTATCTCGCTGGCCCCTGCTTAGCTGGCTGTACCTGTAGGCTCTGTGTTCATCGATTGAAACCATCATGCATGAAAGATATCCAGGGAAAACACTTATCTGCATGTAAATTCTTCCTTTCCTTCATCACTGCTCCCTCAGCAATACTGAGGTGTGACTACTTCCCAGCATTTGCACTCTAGAGCTGATTAAAGTCTATAAGAAGTTGTGCATAGGTGATATACAACTGAATGTCTATAAGGAATTCGAACATCTACATATTTAGGTATTTAATCCTGAAACCCATCCTCCAGGGGCAGCTGTTATCTGTAACCTATGGACAAAGTATCAAGATGGCGCTGGTGGCAGAATTAGAAAATACACCTAGAATAAACCCTCAAAGCCCAGTCATTTAGTTGCAGTCTCTTTCTGTAGCCTGTAGATCAAGATGTAGAGCTTGCAGCTCCTTCTATGGCACCATGTCTGCCTGCACTCCACTATGCTTCCCACCATGATGATAATGGACTGAACCTTTGAACTGTAAGCCAGCCCCAATGAAATGATTTCCTTGATAGGAGTTGCCACAGTTATGGTATCTCTCCACAACAATAGAAACCCTCAGACAGTGATACTGATGTTGAACATCTGAAACATCAAGTATGTTTTCCCCTCATTTTTCTCCACTTTGTTATAGTGGCACTAAGAAGCAAATGCAGAGAAAATGCCATCTTTTCAATGTGAGGTCATTGTATACAGAAGCAGTACTTTCTTCTGTTTCCATATGTCCCTTTGTGACACCTATAAGTGTCCCCCTCTGGGTCACACTCAGTTGTTCAGTTGTGGATGAACTTTACTCTTTTAAAGCCCCTCTTCCTCATTTGGGCTGAGGCTTTAAAACTCTATCAAAAATGCCACTGAAGTCTCTACGATAATGTTTAAGAATCACAGCAGTTTAGGCTCTTGCTGATTCTTACCTCATCCTTGGTTATATTCTGCAATATGTCTGCCAGACTGGCCTGTTAACGATTGCTCATGATAATTTTGCTCATTACTAGAGTTTATCTGCTCAAAAGTTGTTGATGAAAAAGTGCAGGATAACACACCAAGTCTCAATCACTCTGGCAAAGAGTACTTAGTTAGAGAGTACATCACATATTTCTCCTTCATCTCAATTAACATCTACAGAGACAATTTGAATTTGCTCAAGTTTAACTGATTTTATGCATGAATGATTATTGCTTGTATCTGGAAACTCTCCTATGGCCTTTATGAGATTTGACCCCCCCCCATTCTCTGACTGCAGATATCTTTCTGGGGTTAGCCAAACACTCACTGGAATGGAAGTTCTGCATATGTCTTCTTCCCAGAGTCAGTAGATTGAATGGCTTTTATATCAGTGGCTTTCCAAGCCTTTAGTTTTCTCCATTTTCTCACAACGTCTGTCTCATTATCTGCCAGACCCTCAATAAGTACTTATTGGATAAATGAATGAATATTGATGATAAATCCGTATGTGTTGCCAAGTGTACTGGTATTATTGATAAGCTAAAGTGGGACTTGCGAGAAGTTATTTTGGAGATAAGGCAGTTTAAATATTCTTTTCTATGTAATATTGCTATGTGTTTGCCACTGAACATTTAATAAGGTGAAAATACCATATAAACTTGGTAAGTGGTATAGTTAAATGTTAGAGATCTAAATCTACAGTGCTGAAGCCACCATTATCCAACATAGACATCTGCACAGCCAGTTTTGATATTTTCACTTTTGGGATGAATCTAGATGAGGTCTGTTATCAAATGAATATGAAATAATTTCTTTGAATTGGTTTTTACTTTTAGCATCCAGCCTGTTTGGTATCATGGATACTTACTAGGAATTATAATTTAGAAAATTATAATTAATACTGAAGAAAACCCTCCCCACTGCAAAAGACAAACATTAAAAAGTACTTCCCACTGGGTGTGGCGGAGCACACCTCTAGACCCAGCACTCGGGAGGCAGAGGCAGGCAGACCTTTGTGAGTTTGAGTCTTTGGTCTATACAGTTAGACCATATGTCAAAAAACAAGAGAACAGAAAAGAAAAAGAGGGTAGAAGAGACTTACTGTTGCATTGAGAGACACTAATATACTTAGGGTTCTTCATTATTTCAACTCCTATGTTGGACCTTTAAAAAACAAAATGACCAATTAGCCTGTCATCTGTCATGGAACACAGGCAACACGAATTCCCCTGCTTGTAAGGGAAGCAGGGAGCTGTTTTAGGCTTCTGATAATGTGACTACAAACTATTACTTAAAAGGTCTCTGTGGTGTTACAAACGAAGTAGGATTTGGGAAGACTTTGTACCCTGAAGGGTACCTGGAGTCCAAGGCATTGATCTCATTTGCTACATGCAGTCAATGTGTATCTAGAAGCTTCAGATTTTTAAAATAACCATAAAATCTGCATTTAAACTTTGCTTCCACATCATCTGCTCAAGTTTACATAGTCTTATCCTTAAATCACAAATCATGTCAGTTTAAGACCACCTAAATTTCTCAATACAACAGATGCAGCACCCTCTCCCAGCAGGTGCACACCTACTATCATTTAAATTCAACCATTCTCCCATCATTTACCTTAGTCATCTGGGCCCCTATGGTAGCACATAGACCTCTCACTACAGGGCCTCCGCCTGCTTCTCTTTTCTGTCATGTCTTCTGCTCTTTCACTTTCAAATTTTTTTTTTTTTAAACCCAGAAGACATGTTTTATGAAGAGTGGAAGTTATCTGAAGGGAGATAGGCCATCTGTGGGGTTGCTCTGTACCTTAATACCTATCTCAATGACTGGTAGAGAACAGAGTTCAGTTTGGTGCATGAATTAATGCCCGCTGTGGACATAGGGGTAGTTAGTGGGTAGGAAAAGACTTGGTGAGTTGCATAATCAGAGATAAAAGGGAAGGAATAGAAACCCAGCTGTGCTCTTACTCACTCAGAAGGGGTGGGGTGGGGGTGGGGGTTACACACCAGGAGCTCAAACTAGGAAGCCCAGCAAGGTTCTTCAGCGTGTTATTTTCCCATATTTGGTGTTTAGTCTTACTTCCACCAATCATTTGTGTTTAAGAGATTAAGGAGAAAAGGTTCTAAACCTGACTTTGAAAACTACTAAGAAAGGAGCAGCTGAGAAACCAGCATTTTACTTTGTTACAAGTAAAGGAAAAAGAAGTGTGTGTGTGTGTGTGTGTGTGTGTGTGTGTGTGTGTGTGTGTGCACGCGCTCGTGCACGGGCACATGCCAGCACTCATTCCAGTTGCAGTGTGTCAGTGACGGGGAGGGGGGCAGGGGGAGGGAGAACCGGACTGTGTGGGGAGGCTGTAGATTTTGCCTGAATGTAAACTGAAAAGGATTCCAGCTGAAAGGGTGTTTCAATCAGGGCTTGACTCGCAGCTCTGAGGTGTGTGGTGACAGTTACTTTTGCAAATCTTCAATGAGGGAAACACAAAGGTTTATTTTCAATGGTGAGGAGGCATTTTCCACCTCTGCTGAGAGCAAGGAGATCAGAAAGTTAAGTGTTTGTAAGGAGAGGGAGAAAGGTGTGCTTCCAGGAACTGCTCGATCACAACATAGGGAGGATGGAGGACTCTTGTACCCAGAGATGTGTACATGGCCACATCTTCTCAGGAGATGAACTGATGACTGGTGGGGGCTGACTTCTTAGCAGGATTGCTCAGGCTGTGTTATAGAGAGTAGGGCAGAGCTTTGTGGCTATAGTACTACACACCTGGCCTATTCTAAGGCTGCTCTGGTAATGCAAAGGAGGGAGGGAGGGAAAGGCTGAGAAAGTGGCAGAGTAGAATATGACAGGCAAGACAGAGTCCCACCAGCTAGCTGTCACAGTAGTCAAGGTGAGATAAGTCATCTAGAGGGCAGTCTCAACTGGCATAGTAACACAAGACATGGAGATAAACAGATGCACAAAAGATTTTAAGAGGCAAACTGTACGAGGTGTGATGAAGGAGGCGAGGATCATGATACTATCAAGGGAGAGAGAAGGTGAGACACCTATGAGCCATAGCGGAATAGTTTCATATGGAAGGTGTTTTGTAAAACTTAGATCAATAGTAAAATAATCTGACAGAACAGGTTGTCAGGAAGAAGCAGAGGTATATACTTTACTTGGGTCCCTTTTATTGGGCAGCCCCTTTTATTGGGTATGTCAATAGGAATGTAAAACTGTGACATGAACAGGGACCCAGTAAAGACAATATAGGTCTTACCGGAATCTGGAGTGGTGGAAACATCTGAGGTCTTGCTCAGTATTGAGATGGGCAGTGTAGTTGTGCCTGGGGGAACCTCTCATTGTACTGAGAATATACTCACTTCTGGAAAAGACCTTTTTCTTTGTCAGTAAGAAAAGAAACAGCTTGCTGCTTGGTACACACATGGGTCAGGGCCTCACAGGGCATGTGTTGAGGCTTCATACAGTAGAAGACTTCTTCACCACCGCTGTACAGGTATTTGCAGAGTTCATTGCTTGAGTTTAGGGTCAAGCCACATTCAGCTAAGACCTGAGAGGTGCCATTAACAAATTTACCCTTGAAGGCAATTCTATCATAGCCTTGGTTCCTTGCTCTCCAGAGAGCTGACACCCCTTCGCTGGGATGGATGAGTAGGATAGACAGGGAGACAGGGCCTTCCCAGAACAGAGTGAAGCTGACAACATAGGTGCCGTTGTTGAAGTCTGTCACCTTTCCAGAAGCGCCTGCCTTCAGGCCTCGGGAAGACATCCTGGCCCTCAGGAAGTCCCCACCATACTCCTTCCTGTTTCTTAGATAGTCCCTAGCTTCTATTAGGATATCTAGCTGGTCTCCTTTACAGTATTTGTCTCGAGGGTTGAGGATGGAGGCTGTGCTGTGTGCGGCACTGGTGGTGGTATTGAGGTGGGTGAAAGGTCTGGGTGGGAACTGCTGATTTAACTTCTCCAGAATATTCCTGATTCTGAGTTCTTTCTCTGTTAGTGACTTGACCGGTCTTGTCACTTTGGGGATCTCCTCACTTAGCTTAGTCTCTGTTGGTAACCTTGACTGATTCATTGGCCTTTCAGTACAAGAGGATTTCATGGAGGTATTCCCAGAGTGGAAGGAGATGGATGTATTCAGAGTAGTCCAAAGCTGAAATGACAAGATGTGTAATACACTGTAAAAACAAACCTGCTCCCAGCCATTTTTACTTACAATCAGTTAGAGTTTTACAGAAACATATTAATTCTAAAATAAGATGATGAAAGCAAGTTTGCTCTTCACTATCCTATACATTTTGCAGCTAGTAACTACTTTCCCACTGGACAGATGGCTGAATGTTTCTGCTGGTTAGTTCAATTATTATTAATGTGCATAATGAGGAAAACTGTCCAATTGGTTTTATGATACATTTTATTCTAAAACTTGGTTAGTACAATACAGGGAAGGTGAAGGCTTTTCCTACCCATGAGCATGGCTTCTAAATCTTTCTCTCCAAAATGTTAATATATATATATATATATATATATATATATATGATATATACACATAATGTTTATATATATTACATGTTTATATACGCACACATAAACACGGATCCAGAAGGGAAATATCTCAATATAGTTTATATAAAGACAAAAATCCTCATTGTGTTCTAATTTATCTGACTGGAATTGCAGTTGTCAATTTTTTTTTTTTGTTCCTTTGCTTTATTATACTGTTCATACTGGCCCCAAACTCACAATCCTCCTGTTTCTGTCTCCTGGGTGATGGGATTACACATACCTGATATTTAAATACAGGAATTCCACAAGAAAAAAACATCAAAACATGGCTGAATTCCTATGTAAACTTCCAGTGGTAAGCCTTTTCTAATTATCACTTAATATTCAAAAACTATAAGGCATACTGATTACTAAAATTAACCATCACGTGGAAAAAAGGTAGCAGCAGGATGGATTTAGGTAGCCAAGCATATACACCTAGATTCAGTGGTCAAGTACGTATTTAGTGACATGACAGTTGATAGCCTTAACATGAGCACTGACTATAACCAGCGAGGATGAAAGGGAAGAAAGTAGTGACAGTCAGTGAAGAGACAGCTCACACAAGTAGCAGCTTCCGGTCAAAGTGGAAAAATGCATTCCTACCTTTGTGGAACTTTGAGAAATTTCGAAAATTATCCAGGTAATTATTAAAAGAGACAGGAACGTTAGCAGCATTTTCTGACACAGTATATTTGAGAACATGATCAGTATCCTAGGAAAGAGCACAAAGAGAAGGCGCCAAGATGAGGAGGGAGTCAACCCCTTTGTCTACCCCGTTGACCATTTTTTGCTCAGGCTTTGTTTTGAAGGGTTTTCTCCTCCTCAGCCCTGAAATGGAAATCAGATGCCTCCCTGTGTGCTTCCTCCCTTTGTTTGTTTCCTATAGAAACACCACACTTTCACTCACCACAGTCTACATGAGAAGCAGAAACATTAATTAGCCAGCAGGTTCTTTGGGGGCATGGGACCCTGAGAATGTGCTTATGTTACAAAAGTAATCTATAAGACACCTTTAAACAAAGTTGGTCCTGTAGTGACTCTTGTTTTGCTGAGCACCAAGTATGGAAATTCTTCTGGGGGAAGGCGTCTAAATTACTCTGCATAAAAGACAAATTCAGCAAGGTTATGCACTGCTTGAGGAAAGGGAGAGAGGTGGCAGGAGGAGATCTTGAGGAGGAAGAGGAGGACTGAAGCAGAAGGAACTGATAGTAACAGCTGCCTGCCCCTCCCAACCATGCCCATTTCAAAGTGTTCTTGGAGAATAGAAACAAGGCTCACCAGATGCAATGCGCACAGACACCACCCCCAGTCTGTTTTTTATTAAAACTTTTCTGGGCTGTCTGAAAAGCTTTTGGATGGGTGCATTAACTTCATAGGTTCTAAAAGGATTCTATTTACATCTTACTGATACAGAGAAAAAACAGGTAATATACAGAAATTCAAATATAATTGTCCTGGAAGAAATGAATATATTCTAAAGAGACACTTTAGCTATCAGACTATTAAAACAACAGACCTTAAGAAATTGGATTTTCCCCAAGAATCCCATGCCACAAGAAGGAAAGCCTGGGACAGCAGGAGCACAGGACTCTTCTCTCTCTAAGGACACTTAAGAGACTTACTGGGACAAGGATGGATGAGCATGGGCAGGGTCACACCTTGACTGGGACTGCTTAGATATGCATATACATAACATTCCATTTAAACTTCAGTGCAGTCACTGGATGTCTCTGTCTCTCTTTTCAGTATCTCTGCATCAAATCTATCTCCCTTTGATGCTTATTGCTATTCATTAGGCTGTTTTAATTGACTTTTCAAGGATGGATGTCTGAATTTGGCTTCTTGGGGTACAGACTGTGACTTCAGAGTCTAGAGAAGAGTCTAGACAGAGTCTAGAGAAGAAAGTCATGTTAGAGCTAGGTAACTGTTTTAAGCAAAATATGATGGCCATCTGCAGCTCATACTAAACTACTATCTAATGATCTACCTGTGTCTTGCCAATTACGGAAACATGGTGCTTGGGGGAACTTCTAGAAGGACTGAGCTCTGTGTCTAGATGGTGTGAAGATGAAATGACCTTGTGTCACTCATTATTCTGTACATTCAATATTAAATTACTTCCTGAAAACCAGAACCTGTCAAAGCATTGGAATTATGTCTGTCTCCATGTTGCATGCCTTGTACCTACTGTGTTACTGACAAGCATAATGCTTGAGTCATTAAAAAAAAAAAGCATAATCCAGCTTTTTAGACCAATTTATACTTCTACCTACTCAGATTCTGTGCTTTCTAAGAGTGCACAATAGCATGTTTACTAAGGCAACATGCCAGTCAAAGGCCTCCCCACCCTGACTCACCCATTTTTTCTAACTTTTAGGTGAATTTTATGATGCATGAGCTGCTATATCTGTTCTGACCTGTGCTCTTCTACTTAGAGAGTAGTGTATACAGACTGAATTTTACCAATCTGGAAAAAAACATCATTGCAGTTTTGTGACTCTTAGATTTCCAAGCCATGTTTCATTACATTCACACTTTTTGTTTATTTGTGAATGTAAAAGTATCAAGCACTTATTCCATATGTGTCTGGAAGATAAAGTAGATCAGCAAGATGAATGAAATAACTGTTTATGAACGTTAGATTACAGGGGTAGAAACTCCACATTCATGTTGACCTTTGAATATGTTCCATGTTTCCCCATCACTGTCCATGCCCTCTTGGCATGGACATCACTCCTGGAAAGTCTGCAAAACTTCTTTTGTTTACTCTTGAGCATAAGCACTGTTTTTTCTTTCCTCTGAGTTCCCCTAGTCTAACATGCATACTTTGTCACAATTTGTGCTGCAGGATGCCTATCTCCCTTTGTGCCATTCTTCGATTACATTGATGGACATTCCAGAGCAGATTCCTTACTTAAGGGCAGAGGTGTGCTAAACCTGCCTTTTGCTAGCCAAGAAGCAACAGTGTTACAGTTTTTCTTAGCTGAAACATGCCACAGTGGATACATTCAAATCATAGAAACACTGAAAAGAGTTGCTTCTGGGAGAGCAGCTCTGAGTTTACCTTGTTCATAGAAACCATTAAGGTCAGTTGTTCAATTAGCCAATTCTCTGTTGTCACTGCCTGCCAATCTCTGTCCTTGTGAATGATGTCACCTACCAGAAACACAGACTTTGTTCTTGACTCTGCTTCTAGAGTCTGACCCTGCTCAGTCACTCTGGCACCCATGTGTGGACTGGAGATGTTGTCCCTTCTGTCATCAGTGATGCAAACTTGGGTCTGGGCATGTGGTATCCTAGTTATACTATACTACCTGGCCATAGTATTCATTCTCTGAAGTTAATATAATTAGGGTAACATGGCTTTTCTCTCTGCCAGTCTCTTTCCTTGTTTTAATTAACCTGTGACTCGCTAGCTCCTTCAGCAACCTTGTTTTGACCATACAGTATAATGAGAATATCCTGGAGCATGAAAGTCCTAAGGCTTATTTGTCCTGAAACAGGGACCTCTTTTGTTGTCTAATAGAGCCTAGGTACTTCTTTTCTAAATGACATTTTTAAGCATATAAAGTAAAATATAGAGAATTATAGCCAAACTCAATTACACTGAAGTACAGTGATTAACATTTTAAACAACCTAGCTTCTTATTTAGTCATATATCAGTTTTTCATCAGCATACCAAATAACAAGCAGGCAGCTATTATATTTATAATAATTTTGAAGCAGTTACAAGTAGAGTGGCATTTCAAGACTTTTTATTTTACTTTATTTTTTAAAATCTGTATGTACATGGGTGTTTTGCCTGCATGTATGTCAGTGTTCCACATGTGTGCAGGACTGGTTCAATACCAAGTTTCTGTAATTATTCAACTCACTAGTTCAGTTACCCCCATCCAGATTAAGCAATACCCTGGAAATAAAAAAGGAAAATTGCAGTTCATATTGCCTAGATTGGACATATGGACATCTGGGTGCCCTGCCAGTCACCATGAAGTATACCTCTCCTGCCTGGGAAGAAAGCTGGAACCTTTGATTCTCATGAGTCTGATTCTTCCAGAGAAACAGCTATACACTGTCTTGGACCAGAAAGATGTGTTCTTTAGCCTCTCATTGGCTAAGGTGAGTCAACCCATCTTTGCTTTGAAAAGACGGACCTAGAGGGAGGTTACAGCAGGTGATATACCTGGATCAAGTTGCCTCAAGGATTTAAAAATTCTCCAACCTTGTGATGAGATACTAAAATGCTGACTTCCTGACCTTCCATCAAAGGTTTCCCGGAACTGTAATCTTACAATATGTAGGGACTGTAATCTTACAATATGTAGGGACTGTAATCTTACAATATGTAGGGACTGTAATCTTACAATATGTAGGGACTGTAATCTTACAATATGTAGGGACTGTAATCTTACAATATGTAGGGACTGTAATCTTACAATATGTAGGGACTGTAATCTTACAATATGTAGGGACTGTAATCTTACAATATGTAGATGACATTCTCTTAACCTCTAAAACTAAAATAGCTTTTAAGAAGGACAATGAGGGACTGTTACAAGAATTACTTAGAGGATATTGGCTAAGACAGCCCAACTTTGTACATCAGAGGTTACCAGCTAAGGGAGGCAAAAGAACCCTGTCTCAGTGTAGGATTGCTGCCATCCTTCAGGTCCCAATTCTGAAGACTAAGAGACAGGTTAAAGAGTTCCCAGGTGTGGTGAGGTATTGCTGCCCCTGGATACCAGAGTTCATGGAAACAGCAAGGCCTCTATACATCAGCACAAGGTGTAGTGTGTGTGTGTGTGGGGGGGGCACAGAGCCCCTAATCTAGACTGAGACTAAACTTGAAAGGCATTTGAGGCTTTAAAAGTAGCTCTTATTTGACTTCAGCCCTAGCACTTCCAAAAGTCTCAAAATGTTTCATCCACCAAAGCAGAAGACAAAAAGGGTTCTCATGCAAATGTTGGGGCCATGGACACACACTGTGGCATACCTGTTCAAATGATTGGGCCCTGTAGCCACAGGATGGCCCACCAGCCTAAGAGCTGCAGTGGCTACTGCTAGTTTAACGAAAACACAAAATAAAACAAAACAAAAATAAAGCAAAACAAAAAATTGAACAAGTTAACTCTAGGTTAGGATCTCATACTTGTAGCTGTATACTTACATCTCATGACCTTATACTTACAGCACCTCTCCAGAGGCCCTCCTCTGAGGGACACCAGAATTCTGGCCATATGTGACCCAGTATAAGGCTTTACTTTTGGGCTTGAGAAACCTACCACTATCAATTCTGCTACCTTCTGGCCTGTAGGTGCTAAACCATGACTGTCACAAGATGAAAGACAAAACCAGGTATATGGGAGCTGCAGTAGTTATCGCAAATTCTGAAAGGACTTGGGACTAGGCCAGGTACTGGGCCAGAACCGATCACCCTGACCCAAGCTTTCAGCTGAGGGAAAGGAAAGTCCACTAGCATATACACTGACAGTTTCTATGTGTTTACTAGGTGCATGTCCACAGTATGATCTGTGGGGAAAGAGGGCTTCTCATTACCTGGTGGGGGAGAACATTAGAAGCAAAGAGAAAATAAATCTTGGCCCTCTTAGAGGATACTTGGCTTTTGCTATGAATTACTATCTTCCACTGCTATAGACATCACAAAGATGACTTCCCTGAAGCAAGAGATAACCAGGCTGCTGACCTGGCTATCTGGTGAATGGCCCTAAGACTAGTGAGGACACATCTTGATCGGGTGTTGCCTAAGACTCCATAGTACAAATGAGAGGAACTAGAGGATGAAAGAAAAAAAGTGTGGGGGAGGACATCTCAACCCTACAAGTTGATGGAGGGCACCAAGGAACAGATCTTCTCTCAGAAACAATTGACAGGACTCTGGTATCTGACCTTCACCAGGATACTCATCTGGGGTCCACAAAACTTTCTGAGTTTCTTAGCCTGGTGTGGGATGTCCAAAACAGAGAGCCTCTAGGGATTCGTATGAGAGGTCAATACCCTGAACTCTGGGAAACTGACTTCCCTGAGATCCAGCCTGCCAGGGGAGGATACAAGTTCTTGCTAGTTTTTGTAGATACTATTTCTGATGGGTAGAAGTATTCCCTATCCAGACTGAAACTGCTTATATAGTAGCTTAAAAGCTCCTCCAGGAACTGGTTCCCTGAATTGCATCCCCCCACTTAGCAATGAGGTCCAACAATGACCTGGCTTTCATAGCCAAAACCTCTCAATTATTAGCTAAAACTTTAGACACAAATTGAAAGCTTAATGTGCATTGGGAAGATAGAAAGAATGCGTTGAAACAAACTATTGAAACTAATTAGAGTCTGATGGATGGTGGGATAGACCTCTTCCCCTTTGCTCTACTTCAGGCCTGCTGCACCCTGTGTAGGGAGGGATTCACCCACTATGAGGTTATGTTTGGAAGATCTCCCCCACTGCTTTTCAAGCTCAGAAACCAGAATTTGGTAGACTCTCCAGGTCCCCATAAAGGCTATTCATTGAGCTAGCTGAGAGAACCAGCTGAACTCTGAATCTCCAGCTGGTTTGCTCTTGTTTGAATTTGGTGATACTGTCTGGGGCAAGCAGGTAGCCAAAGTGGTTTTGGAACCTACTTGGAAAGGATCCTACATAGTAATGCTCTTAAGTCCTCCAGTCATGCAGGTAACTGACATCACACTGTGGATCCACCACACCAAGTCAATAAAGCAGAAGCTACAGCCACCACTGCCAAATGAACTGTATCTGGATTATGGACCATTAAAATTAGTGTTTCACTGGGCCCTAGGCTCTTCACTTCCTGCCCAGAAGGGCCTCCTCTTGACTCTTATGCTTTGCCCTATGGATATGAATATAGATAGGATCATGGTTCAATTCCCACCAGGCCTGAACCTGGGAACTGAGGAAGACAGACACAGGGGAATGATAGTATAACCACAGACCAACAACCCACATTTCAACTTAACCTTTGCTTACTGATGCCCACTTTAAATGTCTGGTTGTACTGAAGAAAGGAAAGATATGAGAACTGATCTTTTGAGACAAAAATACAGAGATTGCAATTTTTTTCATGCCCTGCAGCTGGCCCTCCTAGTTGCCAAGAACATGGGAGTTTACATTGCAAAAACTGGGATTATGAAACAGAAGCTTCCTGGAAAATTCCTTTAAAAAATTCTTGTCTTTTGAAAACAGGAAACCCTGGGGAATCAGACGCAGTGCTACAGGAATGGAGCCAGACTTTTGGGTCCTAACCATGCCAACACCTTAAACAATGTTTTCCTCCAAAGTACTTAACACACCTGATACTTAACTACCTCTTGATGTCCTGGTTCCCAAAGGATCCCCATTCCTGTTTTTCACTCTTGACAAAGTTCATCACTTAGTTAATCATTTTCAGCCAAAAATTGGCAAGGATTGCTGGGCTATGCTTAACTCCTCAGCCCCCATACTACATAGGGATAGGAACTAACCAGACTGTCAGCCCATTGACTGACAAAACTCATTGTGACTAGGGGCAGCCCAAATTAATGTTAGGAGGTTTACAAGGGTCTGGAACTTGTCTACTGTCCAAAACCGTTATTCTAGGCACTTCCTCTTATTCTGTTGCCCGATACTCTGCCTTGTGGTTAGCTCATCTTGGCAATAGCAATATCTGGGCCTCTGAGACTACTTGATGGGTGTGTACTGATGGGTTGACTAAATGTGCCTCTTCTGATGCTTTCCAAATGAGAAACCCCTTCTATGCATCTTAATACACATTATGCCCCAGATATACCTATATAATGGGGAAAGGGGGGGGAAACACATTTTAATATGGACCCTGAACTATTGAAAAAAAACAAAAACAGCTGTGCCTGTCCTCATTTAGTTCTTAGTTGGAGCCAGCATAGATACATCAGCCTTTACCATGGGAGATTAAAAACTTACAAAACTAAGTAGACAGGTTGATCTAGAGGTATACTGAGTTTCTGTTTATGAATTAGAACAACACTTAGATTCCCTTGCAGAAGTGGTCCCACAAAAGAAGTGATTCCCCAGAATTAGAGAGACTTAGACTTACTTCTCATGAGATAAGGGGGACTGTGTATGGCTTTGGGAGAAACCTGTTGTTTCTAGGCTAACTGACCAGGAGTAATTAGAAAAAACATTGCCATGATTGGAAAAAAACTCAAAAAGAGAAACAAAGACATAAATCAGGTAATTGGTACTAGTCTCTATTCTTGTTCCTCTTAACTAACTACTCTGCTATTGATACTGGCTGGACCTTTAATTCTCACTCGGATTGAATTAACAGCTAATTCCTGCATCTTAAAAATTATGTATCAATTCAGTAAAATTACTGGCCTGTGGTAGTTTGAATGTAATTGGCTCCCATAATCTCATAGGGAGTGGCACTATTAGGAGGACTGACCTTATTGGAATAGGTGTGGTCTTGTTGAAGGAAGTGTGTCACTATGGGGGTGACTTTGAGGTCTCTTTGGCTCCAGCTTCACTCAGTGTGACACTCAGTTGACTTCCTGTTGCCTGCAAGAAGTAGGACTCTCAGTTACTACTCTAGCACCATGTCTGCCCGCACACCTCCGTGATAATGGACTGAATCTCTGAAACTGTGAGTCACCCAATTAAATGTTTTCCTTGTAAGAGTTGCCATGGTCATGGTGTCTTATCAAAATAATAGAAACCCTAGCTAAGATATCATTCTTAAGACCAACTATATGAATCCACAATTTGACTCATTCACGTAGGCCAGTGGGGAGTGTAACAGGGCTCCAGATGTTAGCACAACTGACTCCATGATGGAAGCGTCATTCAGGCTATAAAACTCAGCATGTAGACAGCACCACCAGCCAAAACAAACAAACAAACAAACAAACAAACACAAAGACCTAATACATCAAAGTCTATAGTTCTAGGAAAGTTTCTAAATGTACTAACATTGCTTTTTGGCTTTTGTAGTTCTGCTTCTTCTGAATAACTGCTGTTGTTAATTGAAGAATGTCAATCCAGGTGCTAAAAATATTTCCTTTGTCACCCAGTCAGCACCAGATATTAGAAAAAAGTTAAAAAAAAAAAGAAAGGTATAAGCAGGTACCAGTTGCTGGAGATAGCTCATGTTTAACAAGACAACTGAGACAAGACCTTTTGCATAAACTTAAAGCCACCGTCACCTTCTCTGATGATAAGATACAGACCTACACATACCCAGAAACATGTTGCTGTCTCATCCTCTGTCAGAAGAATATCTCCTAAATGAAAAGTTCTGTGTCCAATCAAAAGACACAGTTGGACTATCTCTCACATTTACAACAAAGATTCCTGGGGGGGGGGTATGAGCAGAAACCAATCCCCCAGGACTGGCCTAACAGCAAGTCCCTATAATTGTCCAACTATCCAGTTCAGTTACTCCTGTCCGGATTAAACAATACCCAATGACCCTCAAACAAAAAGGAAAATTGCAGTCTATATTGCCTGGCTTGGACAGACAGGCATCTGGGTACCCTGCTAGTCACCCCAAATTATAGCTCTCCTGCCTGTGAAGAAACCTGGAACCTCTGATTCTCATGAGCCTGATTCTTTTGAGAAACAGCTGTCCTGGACCTAAAAGATGCATTCTTCAGGCTCCCATTAGCAGAGGTGAGCCAACCCATCTTTGCTTTGAAATAGACAGACTTCAAGGGAGGTTCCAGTGAGCATCGCTCCTGGACCAGGCTACCCCAGGGTTTAAAGACTAATGTGGACTTCTTGTGCTTCTGTCAAAGATTTCCTGGGAAAATAGATTATAAAATGGCCACTGTGCAACTGCTGCCAGAGTTGCAGACTTTGGGCTACAGAATGTCAACTAAGAAAGCCTGACTTTGTACACCAGAGGCTGCTTATCTTGGCTCCCAGCTGAGGGGAGGCAAAGGAGCCTGTCTCAGAGTAGGACTGCTGTTATCATTCAGATTCCAACTCCAAAGACTAAGAGACGGTCCAGGGATCCTAAGTGCAGCTGGACATTGCTGCCTCTAAGTACCAGAGTTTGTGGAAATAACAAGGCCTCTACACCCGCATGAAGGGGGGTGGACAACTAAACTCTTAATCTGGATTGAGACTAAACAAAAGACGAAAGACAAAAGAAGTTTTAACCCAAACTTTGGGGCTGTGAAAACAGAAAATGCCCTATGATATACCTGTACAAACTATTGAACCCTGTAGCCCAAGGATGGCTCTTCTGTCTAAGAGCTATGGAAGCGGCAACTAGTTTAATGATAAAGAAAAGTTAACTCTAGGTCAAGATCTTATACTCACAGCACCCCATGATATGGTTGAAGCTCTTCTCCAAGAGTTCTCAGGATGTTGGCTGTTTAATGACTATGTGACCCAGGAGCAGGCCCCACTCCTGGCCTACCCTCGAGTCCTGTTTGAGAAACCCACCATGCCGTCAATTCAGCTACCCTTTGTCTGATGATCCTGATACTCATCCATGACTGTCGTGCGATGAAAAATAAAACCAGGAACATGGGAGCTGCAATAGTTACTTTAACTGAAACAATTTGGGCCTAAGCCAGGTACCTCAGTCCAGAGAGCAGAACTGATTGATTTGACCCAGGCTCTCAGATTGGGGAGAGGAAAGTTTACCACGATAAATGACTGTCAGTCAGCATGCTTTTACTGCCTGCTCTGCCCATGATGTGATCCATAGGAAGAGGTCTTCTCACCACTGGGGAAGGGACATTAAAACATCTTGACCCTCCTAGAGACTGTTTTGCTTCCCCTACGAATTGCTATCCTCTGTTACTGGCCACTGACCTGGCTGCCTGGCAAATGGTCCTAAAGACCAGTGGAGCCTAGTGATGTCCCATGACATACCTGGACCCAGTGCTATGTGAGATTCCATGGAAAGACAAGAAAGACAAGACAAGAAAAGAAAAGAAAAGGAAAGAGCAACCCGTAGATAAGAGGACACTAAGGGGATCAATCATTCTCCCAGAAACAATTGGCAGGACTCTGGTAATAGACCTTCACCAGGATACCCGTCTGGTCTCCACAAACCTTTCTAAGTTGCTCAGAACAAGGTATTTTAAACCTAAACTGGACAGTCTGGTGTGGGATGTCTCAGCCAGATGCCAGGTTTGTGCTTAAGTAAATCCAAAACAGAGAGCCCTTCCCCAGGAAGGGGTCAGAATGAGGGCCAAATATCCCAGTGAACTCTGGGAAAACAGCCTGCTGGGTGAGGATAAAAGTGCTTGCTAGTTTTTATAGATACCTTTCCCACGTGTGATGAAGTGTTCCACACCCAGACTGAAACTGCTCTTATAGTGGCTTAAAGGTTCTTTCAGGAGCTGGTGCCCTGATTTGGCCTCTGACAATGACCTGACTTTCATAGCCCAAAACCTCTCAATTAATAGCTAAAGTGTTAAACATAGGTTGCCAAATTCATTGTGCAAATAGACTTCAGAGTTTTATCCAGGTTAAAAAAGCAAACAAACAAACAAAAACCCCCAAAACAAAACAAAAACCAAAACAAACAAACAAACAAACACACAAAAAACCCCAAGACATTAAACAACCTCTAACAAAACTCTCATTAGAATCCAGCAAAGGATGGATAGGCCTCCTTCTTTTGCTTTGGCCCACTGTACCCCATATAGGAGGTACTCCATCGCCACCACTGCTGTCTCCCAGGTTCAGAGAACAGCAGTTGGCAGAACTCTCTAACCATTTCTTGTCTGGGAGAGACCCAGCTGACCTTCAAATCACCATGCGTTTTTCCTTGTTTCAGTTCAATGATATTGTCTGGGCCAAGTAAGCAGCCAAAGGTGCTGGAGCCAATCTGAAGAGGACCCTACAAGGTGATTCTCCCCACCCCTATGGCGATGAAGGTAGCTGCTTTTACATCACAGATCTGCCACACCCAGGTGGCAGCCACAGACACTGCTCTCAAATGGACTGTCTCCCAGGCTAAGGACCTATTGAAATAAAGGTTTTATTGAGTCTGGGGCTCTTCCATTCCCTGACCCTCTACCTCCTTTTGACTTGTGTTTGGTATGAATAGAGGGTTATGGTTCAACCCTCACCACCCTCTGGCCTGGTTCTGGGAACTGAGGAAGACAGAGAGAGGAAAGGTATTCTAGTGCAGATCAGCAACCTTGTATTCACCTTGACTTTTGCTCACTGATGTCCAATTTAAATGTCTAGCTGTACTGGAGATAAGAAAGATATGGGGGCTTATCTTTTGAGATAGGAATACAGAGTTTACAATTCTATGTGTGCCCTGTGACTGGGTCCCCTAATTGCCAGGAACAAGGGAGTTTTCATTGCAATAAATAAATTTAAAAAAAGGGGTTTGTAAAATGGAGGCTTCCTGAAACTTTCTTAGGAAAGTTTTCAGCCTTTGGGAAACACGAAAAACCTGGGAAATCAGACTGGATGCCACAGGAAGGGACCCTGGGGACACAGTTAATTATTCCCAGCCACAATTTGGCCAGGATTTCTGGTTATGATTAGACACTTGACCCCTGTACTACATAATCATACTGTCAGTCCATTGACAAAACTCACTGTGACTGGGGTACCCCAATTAAAATCAGAGGACTTAACTTACGAACTTCCCCTTGTTCTGATGTCTGCTATTCTGCCTTATGGATTAATTCATTTGAACAACAACAATATTATGGAGCCTGAGACCACTTGGTGGGTACATACCAATAGTTTATCTAAACGAGCCTCTTCTAAACTAAGTAACAGGTTGATCAGGACCTTGAGGTATTAAAAGTTTCCATTTCTGAATTAAAACAATAGTTTGATTCCCTTACAAAAATGATTCTACAAAGTTGAAAAGGTTTATATTTCTCAAAGATAAAGGAATATATATATATATATATGTACATATATATATGTGTGTGTGTGTATGTATATATATATATATATGTATATACACACACGGGATGTTCTGTAAATATGCTTCTCTAATTATACACACACACACACACACACACACACACACACACTCATATGGCATGTTCTTCTGTATATATGCTTCTCTAATTTTGGCCAATGAGGCAAGATGGTAGGCGGGACTAGGAGACAAGGAGAATTCTGGGAAAGGTAGGCAGAGGGAGCCTGACAGAGTCCCCATGCAGCCAAAGGAGTAACAACATGCCAGGGTCTTACTGGGTAAGCTACTGACTCATGGCAACACATAGATTAATAGAAATGGGTTAATAATTAAGACAGAGCTAGTCAATAAGAAGCCCAAGCCATCAGACAACAGTTTTGTAATTAGTATAGCATCTGTGTGTTTTGTTTGGGGCTGAGAAGTGTGGTGGGACTTGGTGGGACAAGAGAATCTCTTGTAACACACACACATACACACACACACACACACACACACACACACACACGGTTCTGGAAAAAAAAACCCTGTTATTGCTACATTAATTGAGCAGGGATAATTTTTTTTTAAAAGTCTTGCTATGGTTAAAAACAAAACAAAACAAAACAAAATAAAACAAACAAACAAAAAACTCAAAAAGAGAAACAGA